GCTCAGGAATAGAATCTAATATAGAAGGTCATAAAGTGAAATTTGACTTTGTTGATAAGCCAAAGGCAAAAGAAATAAATAATGTAAAACAAATTATTTTCAATAAAGAAAAGTTTCTATGCCATTTAAAAGAAGAAATAAAATATAAGGTAATAGAAGAAAAACTTTCTCTAATAGAGAATATAAAATATATTGCAGAAATTAAAAAGAGAATAGAAAATGAAATTTGTGCAGATTTACCAAGCGCTTTCGGGAATAGGAAAAAACATATTGTGAGTTTACCATATAAAGAAGATTTTCATGAAAATAAATACCTACAAAAGCTAGACCAATTTAAATGAATCCTCGACTACTAGAAATATGTAAAAAGGAAATCGATGATTTACTTCAAAAGTAGCTTATCAGATTCATCGCCCTGGAGCTGTTCAACATTCTATGTCGAGAAAGCCTCTGAAAAGAAAAGAGGAGCCCTCAGACTGGTAATAAACTATAAGCCTCTTAATAAGGTTCTCAAATGAATACGATATCCAATTCCAAATAAAAATGATTTACTTGATAGACTGGTAAAGGCTTGTATATTTTCTAAATTTGATTTAAAATCATAATATTGACAAATTCAAATCAGTGAAAAAGATAAATATAAAACTGCTTTCAATGTCCCATTTGGACAATTCGAATGGAATGTTATGCTATTTGGGCTAAAAAATGCTCCTTCTGAATTTCAAAATATCATGAATGATATCTTTAACCCTTATATGAAATTCATGTTAGTTTATATAGATGATGTTTTAATATTTTCTGAAAATATTGAACAACATTTTAAACATAGAAATATTTTCATAAATGCTATAAAGGCTGTAGGATTGGTAGTCCCAGCTAAAAAGATTAGCCTTTGTCAAACGAAAATAAGATTCTTAGGCCATAATATTTTCCAGGATAATTCCAATAGACAGAGCAATTGAATTTGCAGCTAAATTTCCAGATATTATATTAGATAAAACCGAGCTTCAAAGGTTTTAAGGATGTTTAAATTATATTGCTGATTTTTATAAAAATCTAGCCATTGATGCTAGACCTTTATTCCAAAGGTTGAAAAAGAATCCACCCAAGTGGACAGAGAGCATAATCTGGCGGTCAAAAAGATAAAAATAAAAGCAAAAGAAGTATCTTGCCTTATACGTTCTAATCCTAATGCTTTTAAAATTATAGAATGTGATGCGTTTGAAATAGGCATAAGAGGAGTCTTAAAACAAATAATTTCCGAAAAAGAATAATTAGTTTGTTTTACTTCCAGAGCTTGGAACCATACTCAACAAAAATATTCAACGGTTAAAAAAGGACTTTTAGCCATTGTTCACTGCGTTACAAAATTCCAAAGTGATATTCTAAATCAAAAGTTTCTAATTCGAACTGATTGCAAGGCTGCTAAAGATATTCTCAATAAAGATGTAAAAAATATTGTTTCTAAACAAATCTTTGCCCGATGGCAAGAAATATATATATATATATATATATATATATATATAGGAAGATACTACAAACGCCTATAGGCGAATATGAACAGTTATTTCACCTACTCTCAATACCATCCAAACTTCATCGTATAGTCACAGTTATTCGGTAGTGTTTCAATTTTTATTTTTTTTACTAATCGGGATAATTTGAAATTTGGAGAGTGTGTACATCTTAGTGAGACGCACCTAATAAAAATATGAAAAAAAAAATTCGTAAAATATAAATTAACCAAAATACCCATAAAAAAATACGAGGGGATATTTATCAATTTATATTTTACGAATTATTTTTTCTATATTTTTATTAGGTACGTCTTACTAAGATATAAACACGCTATAAATTTCCAGTAATTTGGATTTGTAGAAAAAAAATAAAAATAAAAAATAAAAAATGAAAAATAAAACACTATCGGAC